ATTCTCAGGTGCCTAATCAAACAACAAATATTAAAGTTACAAAAAACGCAGTGACGTAAATTTTTTTACAATAATATTCGCTAAAGTGCTCCCTGGGATGCCTCTGGACCTAATATTTTTAATCCATTTAGGATTAAATTAGCCTCTTAATACAAAAAATGATATTTCCAACTTTCAGCAGAACCGAGTGAATATTTTTTAAGGTATCATTACGTTTTTTTCCAATTTATCACCCTGTATCTTGGAAAACTGCATTTTTGAACTCATGTTTATAAAAACTTTTTTTTCATATTTTTCAACAAGGAATCACCGTCTAAGATATCCCCGTATATTTTTCGGACACCCTGTATGACATCTTTTCGAAATTTTTCTCGATTGCAATACTTCCATGCCAGTGGGCGCGGGAAGTAACATGTTCTAATTTTTTTTTCCGTTAAGATATAGTATTTATCCGATATTTTCATCAACCCTAATTTCAGCCGGCTAACTTCACCTGTTCAAAGAATAAGTAAAAGGAGGTTTTGTTTTAAAAAGTACTATCACAACTAACTGTGTCAGTTCTGATGATCTAGCTGTTCGGTAGCGATAGCCCGCATACGGACGAATAAGCTTTAACCTTTTAAAAAATTCATGCAGTGACGGCAAAAGTGGTTTAGGTTCTCTGATCATGACGAAAATTTAGGAACGACCATGCCATGATAAATATTAGCCAATATTCGTTTTCGCTTCAGTGCATTGAATTAACTTCGATGAGCCTAGCTCTTGCATGGGCCTCAGAATAATTGCTCCCCTATTTTAAAAGAACTATTGATTTCCGTGGACTTAGTGTTGACACGCAAAGCGCATGATTTTATGTGCCTTTGTTGCAGAAATAGCCATTACTTCATTTTTAGTGGCTTTCGTATACGCCAGTTTTAGTGATGTTCCTATCTAGATAACGTTTTACAGCTATAATAAAACCTTTAATTACAAAAATTGACCTCTCATGTGCAACTACATAGCACTCGTTTTAACAAAGAATTATAGTTTCATCAAAGCTAATAATATACTGATTCTGACAACCTTCACAGGATTCTATAAAATTGAATAGGTTTAGTGCAGTGAGTCTTTTTTAACATGCAGAAAAAATTCAAGTGGTGGTTTATTGACCTATACTAACTTATCTATTCAAGACTGCTTCGTCAAGCTATAATGTAAAGATCCAAAGTTCATCCCATAGGATGTCGAGCTATTTTATATATACCTGGGTAATTTCTCATTAAATCAATTAACCAATCGCTCAGATGGTCCATATTTTTCAAGTAGTGTGAAGTAATAACTTTTGACGGTTCCAAAGGTGAAGTAGACCAGAGAATTGGGTTTTTACTCGATGATTAGGAAGCTCATGAAGATGTATAGGGCACGAAGTCTATTGCACAAAATCGAGAGCATCGATAGAGGCTTAAATGGAGAAATTGTGTTAGTAGTATTCTCGCTGTGATGTATTATGTTTATCGCCAAATATAAATAGTAGCTTAGGCCCGTATCGTCAATCGTCCCTACAATTGTAGGGCGCGTTTATGGCCTCCTTGATTGTCACTCCTTTCTCTCCTTCAAAAATTTCTAGATTACACTTGTCCCGTGTCAGCGTCAGCGCTGTCCTATTGTGAAGATATGTTTTCTTTTCAAATTGTACGAACTTTCAGGTTGATCATACATGATACAACTCAAAAGCAAGCACAATTTGATGCAAATAGATGTTTGTGACATAACCTCAAAATAGAGTTCTGACACGGAGAAGTAGAAAACTATGACAATCAAGAAGGCCATAAACGAGCCCTACAATTGTAGGGACGACTGACGATACGGGCCTAAGGTATCTACCAATGCTTAGTGGAGCGCATGCTCACCCCGTATCACATATTACTTGGGCCACGATTATGTGTGCTTTGATAGTGGAAACACTGTTTGTGCATTGCAGTGCAGACCGTCGTCTAGTCGTTTGTTATTTGAGCGGTCCACAGGACCTTGACTCTTTTCTGGCAGAATGATGTTTTCTTTATTGAAATTCTTCCTGAGCTCAGCCAGGGGAGATTTTTTTATTAAGTCGAAGATAGAGAAAGACGAAAGAAAGGAAGAAAACGAGAAAGATGAGAGAAAAGGGGGAATAGAAACAATCAGTAACAAGGAAATTTATTTAATTTGTATTCCGAAAGGTGCTTAATTTGGTTTGAGTATTGAAAAAAGATTTATAATTTAGAGAGCCAGACCTTTTATGTTTGGGTACTTGGGTCGGAGTATAGTCCACTACGACACGCAACAAAGGGTCACTATAGGAGCTTGCGCGTTCATAGCGCTTCCTAGGCAGTAACTTGATCTATTATATTTGTATTTGCAGATATCTGTGAACGGTGACATGCGTAGGTCAAATTAGGACGGATAATTGTAGCATAAGGGCGAATTTTATTTACTAGGTTTAATTTTGAATTTCGGATCAGTAGCGGATACAAGTGCCGAACAGTGCCATGTCATCCGCATAAAGAAGTATCCCGCAGTGGGTGGGGAACGAGTATACCATATAAAGAATAGACACTAAACTCCAGGACTGAACCCTGGGGGACGATAATACGTAGAATAAGTATCCTTAATTTTGATCCTGAACTTTCTTCCTTCCAAGAAGGATTTAAGCAATTTTGACAGCCAAAAGGGAAATCCTTTATTGATCAATTTATAAAGCAGCCCTGCATGCCACACCTTACCGAAAGTATTTGAAATATCTGAAAAAATAACTCCAGTACTTTGATTTTGAGTGAATCCAGAGGTTATCGTCTCCACAAGTCTCACTGCATGTTGCTCCGTACTGTACCTCCTCGAGAAATCCGAATTGTACATCGGGCATTGCTTGGGGATCAAAACAGTAATTCTCTAGATGAGTATGAATAACCTTTTCGGCCAATTTCGACGGTGAAGACAACAGACTTATGGAACGATAGTCCTGTGAAAAAATTTACCCCGCCTTTTTCGGAGACAACAGTTTTAGTCCCACCACCACCGCCACCGCAACCAAGACCGTGGATTGGTGGCAGTTGTTCTCCCTTATCATTTCTTAGACACCTTGCAACGCGCCAAAGAGCGACGGAGTTATTTACCATCCAATCAAGGAATCTATTCCATTCTTCATTTCGGTATTCGAATAAAGCATTACTAACGGAACAAACAAGATTCGTGGCACTTCTAATGTCTTTAGGGCGATGAGTGCGTTTAGCGATCTTCATGGCGAATATCAGTAGGAAGAAACGGAGTATCAGGGGACCTTCCTCTTGCACGAACCATGTCCACTCCGAAAAAGCAGAATCTAGTTCGCTCTCAATACCTGTAACCGGAATTTTGGGAAAGGTCGCAAGTATAGACTGTTAGAGTTCCCAATCAATACGCTTTGACGGAGGAGATTCTGCATAGTTTTGTTCGGTTCCTACCTCCAACATGACTGGAAGATGGTTAGTCTGAATGTCACACAGGACTCAAGAAGTAATACTGAAGTTGCAATTTCTGGATATAGCAAAATCAGTCACGTCTAGTGTTAACGGACTGTTGTATGAATAGTGTGGCGACTCCTCCATGGAGTGTATGAGGCATCCATGTTGTATGACACAAGTGAACGCCGCTAGAAGTATTGAGCGTTGCATTCCATGACCAGTGTTTGGAGTTGTAATCCCCCGCAGCAACTAACGGTCCTTGGCAGTTCAGCAGAACTTCCAGGTCCGCATCTTGAAGCTGAGGACCATGCCTCACATCCACTGATGTGAGCTTCACAAGTACTGCCAAGCCGCCACGTCTCCCATTCAACCTGTCGGCTCGAATGTGGGACGACAATTCTCCCGGTTTCAGGAATGTTTCTTGCAACAAGGCTACATCTATAGATTCGTCAATCAGAGCTTGTTAAAATTCACGTTTTTAAGGATCTTTTATCCCAGAAGCGTTGCAGCATAGAATTTTTAAAAATGATGGCTGCCTTGTATCACTAGGCATTTTCGGCCCTGTTACTGGCTGCGGAAATTCTTATTGCTGAAAGAGGCTATAGCAGCATAGGTTTCGTCCGACTTTAGAGAAGTAGCTCAGTATTTTTTCTACGGACAAATTTACAGCCTAAGCTATTTGCTGGATGATTTCAGCCACAGTTCGCACAGGTTCTATCATCGTGATCTGTAAGTGGACACAGATGCGTGAGGTGCTCTTGGGCGCGCATCATGACTGGGAGAGGCCATATCTTTGGCAGCGATGGCACTGACCGATTTCTCCAGAAGTTTGCTGCACCTCCACAGAGATAGCCAAGCCCAAGAGTTCGCGCTTATTGAAAATATGATGAGACTTTGCTACCTTCGGCAGTACCACAACTACAAGAGGCAGATGTTTCCCGCCATTCTTTTTTAATTATATGAATAGTCGTTGGTACTCCCATAAGAATCGCGTGAATGTTTCTTTCTTCAGAGAGGGAAAAAGTATGGTATGCTATTTTCTTTTAGAAAGCGTACAAGCTTACCATAATCATCCTCTGTTTTAGAGGTAATTCCAATTCCAGCATCTATATACACAGTTTTTTCAATTTTAATACAAACAGAAATACATGATTGAGATAGAAGCTTCCACCTTCCGGCGTGACCCACTTTGATGACATCCATCGAGCACTACACTTTCGAGACTACCTCAGTCTCGAAAGTGTAGTGCTCGAACCTGGAGAGCTTGGTTCTGAATATGTATTTTGACTAGAGTCAGTAACCGATGTTAGAAATTGAGTGGTAAAAAAATTTGTTTGGGGTAAAGGAGATAAAGTTGAAGTAGGAAGCTGGCTGAAATTACTGAAAACCACTGGAACTCCTCTTGGATCTGCGTTTTTCGGTACTTCAAACCTATCTCCTTGCGTGTTTATTATGTCCATTCCGTTAACTGTGGAACTCTCGCTGTCGCTGTCATATTGATGCTGCTTTGGCGATCCACTCTTCTTCAGTAATTTATGAATTTACCTCTGCAACTCATCTATTTGCAGTGACATCTATTCAATAAGCTTTTTATTATTCTCCAACAATTGGCTGATGAAGGCAGACTATCTCGGTCTGGCGGAGCACCTTGACTCTCTCGCCAACATTGTGGCAGCTAGGAGTTGCATCCTGCTGACCCCCAGGATATGTTTCCATCTTATTATATTATATATATATATTTTTTTTCCTGGATTTTCGCGAATTAATTATGGGAGCAAAACATTGTTTCAACTTGGCAAATAGCTTACACAGGGTGATATCTGCAGTGCAGATACCATTAGTATTCCTAGGTATTATTTGCAAGAAAACATATTTATATTCTTTCTAATGACAAGATCATAAGCTTATCTTTCTCATGAAGTTGGTTCCGTTCAGTGGCATAAGCTTACTGCACATTATTTTTCTGAGATCTCTTCACAAGAGTCCTTCTAGACTTGATAAAGCTTTTAAGGTCTTTGATCACATGAGGAAGGGATGGAGCAAAGCAAAGAGCAGAAAACGGAAGGTACGTCAATTCTTTTCACTAAGGAATTAGTGACGAGCATCTGTTAGAAGTATATTCTGTATCCTTGCTTAAAATTTCATCCTTTTTAATTTTTTTTTTTTAGAGTTGCTTTGGAGCCCGAATATTAAGTCATCAACTTATTCAATTGTTTAATTTTCCTGTGTCTTCTTGCAAACTATTTATCATTAGATGCAATCCGTTGATGTACTTTAGACAATCTTAACGTGTACAATCAATACTATCGCTAGTCAGGCTGCAGTGTGGTTGTCTAGCAGCTGAAGAGATTCTACATGAGGAATTGATTTAGGCTTTCTTCTTGCTTGACCGCTACTTTCTTGATCCTGGTCGTTAACCAGAACGATGTTCAATGTCCCTGTTACGAAGATACCAAGGGGTATTCATCATGTTCCTCAGTACTTTATTTTCAAATCCTTGTATAATCACGATGTTCGGATTCTTGGAACAGGCACATAGTCGACAACTATAAAGCCACACCGGTTTTAAAATCTGATTATAGATCATGATTAAGATAAGAGCAATAGCTTTGAGGAACTTTCCAATAGTCAATAATATTGCTTGTAGCGGAGGTTCAGTTATTCCCTCTTTTTTGAAATGTGCCTTCACTTCAGCCTGGTGTCTAGGGTATGACTCCAATGGGGTCTATTTCACTCAATTATTGGTTGCCGTCTGTACTTTACTACTTAAATATGACCTTTGTTAGCTACAATCAACGCTGTATCGCCTGCAAATGCTGCAACTCTTATATGGGTCATATCAGGAATATCTATATATACAGAAGATGGAGTATTGTTCCTAGAACACGCCCCTGGGGTATTCCAGCATTGATATCCGGAAGATCAGAGCTTAACTCTGAAGGTCCTATTTGAGATATATGACCTAATTACGTCTTGAAAGTGCATCGCTTACTTTATCAATGAGTATGTCAAACTTCATCCAATGCCTGGGCGACATCCAGGAATAGCACACTGGAAGGTAATTTTCCCGCTAACGCCTGTGATGCGATGCACTTAAGTTTTTAAGGTTATTGGGAATTATTTCTTTTATAGTCATTTTGAACTAAAATTTATGGTAAGTGATGCATAACACTACAAAGTAAACGTCACATGCTTTTAGAACATAATTTTTGCTACTTTTTATAACATTAACAAAATGGGCGCTTAGATTCGATTCGATATTATCCGTCGGTTATTACAGATATCATTTCCACACAATACTCGGATTGTTATACTTTATGATGGTTGTAAAACCAACTCGTGTTTGTTTCACATTTCAATCGAGATGTCATCATTTTATTTGTATATTATCGACATCTACTCGCATATTTATGATCTCTTAAGCGATATTGTTTAGAAAAAATATTTTATGGCAACCGTATTGACGGAGTTTGTCAATCGATTTACATAACGACTATCTGAAAACTTTAATGATGCACGCAATCTCATCTTTGATCGTTTTTGCCATAAATGAGGAGTCAAGCCGATTGACCATGTAATGACTTATTTGACCAATAAATTTAATCTGACAAAAGCTGAGCGTCTCAAAAGAAACACGTGAAGGTAGTTCAGTCCAAATTCACAGAACTCCATACATGAACTGTGCGTAGGATTGTTTATAATAGCAAAAATAAGCTCCTCATTTTGTCTCACAATGGTTTCCAATAAAATATGAGTATGCATAGAATTCTCTCCTTTTCTTAGAAGGGTCTATCTAAATGAGTGACAAAATATAAAACATTCCAATAAAATAATGTCAAAATCTGTCAGTTTTTCCAAACTGGTTCTTCCATATTTCAATGCACATTCAGATATATCCTTATAACGACCAGGCTGATATACCGTTTTCATGATTAGTTGTTATAAGAACGCTCAATTTCGACAATTTTCTAGTCCGTCATTCTGAAAGATAGCGATTTTATATTTTATGGTTATAAAGCTCTTCGTGAGGATGTTCAAAACAAGTTGTAACATGACCCCTCATTCCGCTTAAAAGAATGTTACAAGATGGCGCCCAACCAGATTATCCTGAATTTCAAATTGATAACCTGACCTGTTCAAAAAATAAGTAGGGGCTTTATTTCTTTCTCAAAAGCACGGTATAACTCTTGTTAGATTGATGGAATTACGTCAGTATTCGACCCCTATAATTTCAGCGTCATTTTCATTATCTATACTTACAGCAAATTACAAAAATGCATTAAAGTAATTTGCATAGATATAGTGGTATTACAAAACAGGTGGCATGACTAACACGGTGGCAGATTATTAAAAGATCGTGCAAAAACTCATGGTATCTCCATTCTAGGTATGAGATCCATACTGTAATGAGACACTTGGAAGACACTATCCCAATCAGATGTGTAATTTTTTGTGTCCCTAGATATGATCACATGGGTTTGAATTTTTTAATATAATTTACTTTCAGTTCTAGGTTTCATTATATTTTTGTGGTTTGATGGAAACCACTTTTTAAATACTTTAATACTCAACGACACGTAAGCGATCGGCACCTTCGAGTAGGAAGTTTCATCTCTAATGGCACTCCAGATTTGTGTATCTTTTCTCACAGTGTTGTGCCAGGTCTGCTTAGAAAGGTGTCAATTTGAAAGCTTCGTCACACAATCGCCAACCTACGTAGCGTCTGGCAACCCGTGTTCACAACATCTCGCGTACTATGGAAAAGTTCTGCTAAGTATCTTGGTGTCACATTTGAAAAGGGATGACCTGGCAGAAGCGCACTGAACCGTTAAAAACTAAATATATAAATCTGCTCTATGCTATGCGGAACCTCGGAATTAAGTTTGATCAAGAAATTCCGGCTTTACATGTGCGGCTTGGTGTTTTCTCGTCAAAAAGCATAGTCTGCAGGTCTTGCAGAACAAAACCTTGCGAACAATCAGTGACGTCCCAGGATATGTCTCCAATGAGACCCTTCACAGAGACCTTGACATCACTTATCTAAGGGACTAATCAAACTACAAGCGCAACTACGTTATAGTCAAGCGGAATCGCATAGCAACATTTCGTTGCGCGAGTCAATAGACTACACATTCAAGCAAGTTCGTAAACACACAAGGCTACGGCTCGCACTGTGAACAAAACTGGATCATGCGACTTTAGTTTCAACCAACATTATATTTTTTCTTCAACAACCAATCGCTAAATTCATTTTAGGATCAATTTAAAATTCCCGAATACTAGTTAACAATGCCAGAGCACCACTCAATTGACGCAATTCTTTTTGTCTTTGCTTTTCTTTCCTTTCTTTCTTCTTCCCTCTTTCTCTTTGTCTTTTACGGACCGCTCTGACAAATACTGGCGGATAGATCATCTAGGACATTAGATCGCAGAGAGAAAAAAGGTTATATGATTTATATTGTCTTTGTTGTGGGGGGCGTCTACAGGTTGTCAAAAATGTAAAAAATAGTTACAATTTTGCATAGTATGCCATATGCTCTACGTGTCACTTGTATTGGAGTACGATAATCTACCGGTTTGTACCTGGTGGGTCATTAATAAGGTCAACCAGCCAAACTTGAGCTGTCTGTTAAAAAAATGTATGTCAAAACAGGCCAAGAGAAATTGCTGAAAATTGTTTTCAACGTCTTTCGCTATTCAGAAAGTGCACGAAAAAACTTACAAACTAATGAAAACCGTGTGTCGTTAAGTTCGTTATTTATAAAATCGTCAGATTATTGAAATGTACACTTTCTGCATGTAATTTACTCACCCTATCATGGTCTGACGCGTACGAGTATATTTAATCATCGATTTTTTTTATATTCTTATAGTCTGTCCCAGACGTATTTCCATGTATATATGGTGGAGGTCCTAAACAGGATGCAAAGTATAGCTGCTTATCTTAATTTGCCTTGCTCGAGTATATTTCCAAAATCCCCTATGGGGCTCCCCTACTACATTACGTCGCGCTCAGGAAGGCGCCTAAATTGTAACTACAAATTGTTTGTAATACTAAATCACAACATGGGTTTCGTTTATTTTAATGCCAAACTAAATCTAGTTTCTCAGCTTTTTGTCAAAAACATTACCAAGGTAAAGGACGTAATAAATACATATATTTAGATGACGAAGTAGGTACATACAGGCACACAGACCACATCCGATTATGTTGGCATAAGATTTTTTTTTGAATGTTCACAACTGAAGTAAATTATTACTTCATAACGAGAATACATCATTTGCTATATTTGTACATAGTTATATCAGTACCATACAACTGCTATATCTATCGCGCCAAATCTCGCGAAAACGATTAATGGCCGTCTAGATTGGATTGTAAGTTTTGCCGGTGTAATTATCCAGATGTTAATATAAAGTTATTAATATACTCATACCACTTGACATTTGATTGAAGAAACAAGTACTGTATTAAGCAATATTACTGAAATGAATATCAGACGTGAAGCATTTAAAGTAAGATGTCCAACTAACATCAATAAGAAAGCGAAGTTCTTACTCAAGCCATCAATCA